TGAAATGATTTTTCCAGAATGTAATCATGTTCAAATACCTAAAGACTTTGAAAAACATTTCCTGTGTCTCGGAATCAGCCAATCTCCGTTTCTATTGATAATGATAATGACAGAAATAAAATAGATTTACATACCAAGTAACAATAATTATAAATTTTTGGCTGAATTTCTACATCAAACTTATATCAACTTTATAGTAATTTATGAAGAACAAGGATGGAGAAAGGGAATAAAATCAAACAACCAGATGCTTTGATATTATTTATATTAATAGAATGAAACCTTACACTTCTATGCATAAAAATGGTTAAGTAGATATGCTATGAACTGATGAGTCCCATGTAAAAGATTTGTGTCCCGTTGCATCTTGGGAACAAACTTTATGTATATATATATATTTCCTTTAAAAGGCCCTCTTGCATCACAACCCCGTATCACCAAATATCAAACGAAATTAAATTATTTTTGGTTTTAGATTTTGAAATAGACGCGAGTTTTTTTTTTTTTTTTTTTGAAGTTTTGTCTCGTTAGTGGTAATCGTGACATATTTTTGTTTGATTACAGCAATTTGACATCTCAGTCTAAAACATTATACAGGAGTACTCTCTTGTAGGTCTATAAACAGGATAAGATTGAAGGATTGATTAATAACAAGATCGAGTTTGTGATTTTACAAGGATTACTATATATGCAGAGGCCAGTGCATGTTCATGAGCCACGAAGAGGCAATAACAGATTTGTGTTTCTTCCCAAAATTTTGAATGACATGCAACACCCTTTTAAAGCTTAAATTCGATTTTATGTTTTTTATTTTATTTTTGTCGTAAAATTTTGGGTTGATGAATACTATTGGAAAATATATCATAATTTGTGATTCACCGCTTTGATAATCTGTAGATAGATTTTGAATTTTCTCTCTCTCTCTCTCACTGTTAATTATATATATCTGTTTATTCATTTAAAGTGTATGTACATTAACAGACCTTCATATTCCTCAGCCTTCGCATTATTTACGTCGATTTCCTTGACATGTTAGACTGAATGACAAACCCAAGAAATTGAAGTTTTTTTTCTCAATAAAAGGGCCATGATAAGTACCTTTCAGAAGACTGAGTGGTATGTGCTGTGGTCCACGCACTGAAGTTCACTTTTATTTACTACATTTGGTTTTATTTCTCTATAAAGTGCGGATATAAGGTCGTAGCAATTATTTACCTTCTCTTTTTTTATTATATATATATTTTTGAGATTAGAGTTTGTACATATATTTCTCATATATTATAATCAAGTGTTATTGTCATCAAATGTTCCGATTCAATCTGAAATGAATACTGACTGAAGTACTAACCAGTTTTTTAATGAACTTGACAAGGCGTGGCCTGCACACCATAACCCAGACTGACTGAAGACTAAAGGGTGGCTGGAGGGGGGAGAGGGGTAGGGGAGGGGGAGGGGCGGGGCGGGCGGTTCCCACATCAACAACCACAACCGCTGTCATTTGTTGTTTTTTTTTCTCAAAAAAACAGTAATTGCGGCCGAGGACAACAACTTGGTATTTAATATGTTTCTATGGCAGTTTGACTATTCGAATTTGTATCTGTACGCTACGTATAAAAAAAAAAAAAAAAAAACAAACTTCGTAGGACTAGACTAGCGACCCAGTCATCGAGACACGACCTCTCTCACCTTGGACAACCATCCCTACTTCCCGATGACTAGTAACGAAGCAGCTGTTTTAGGAGGACTGTTGTCGCTGCTGCTGCTGTTGCTGCTGCTGCCTCGCGCTCGCCCCTTAGTGTGGAGTCATCAGTGGTTATGGCGATAGTACAAATTGGAAAGCGGGGGTAAAGTTAACAGTATGAGAACAACCAACGCATCAGGGCACAAACTACGCATGTGTAAATACATCATCAACACCCTTTATTATGCAACACCTTTAGAAGCGTAGTTACTAAAATATTTGAAATGCACCAACATTTCACCATTTCCTATATCACCATAACAATCTAATGAGCTGTACATATTCAATACTGACTCTCTTGTCAACCTTTTTATGTATAAATAATGTAGTCCAGCTTTTGAGTACACACGTAACTCCAAACTGAGAGAAAATGGCGTTTTTGTTCAAAGGTGCAAAGTGGGCGTATCGGCTTCTCTCTGAATCCTTGGGTTGTCTTTTTACCTTAAATATATTTACTATCCATTTATTCATTCTACAGCAAATAGGCCGGATTTAAAAAAATAACACCTTTAACAAGAACTCCATGGCATTACAAGCGACAATTGACTTCTTACAGGTAACTTATTGATTTCACAAGGCCTGAGGATATGAAGAAATACCTTTCATGTTTAGATTGTTGCAGTGAATCTACTCATCAGTCGACAATGATAAATTGTAGATAATCACGATTAAATTTATACCGTTTAGTTCACGCAGTACTGTACAGATTTTGGAATTATGATACACAGTAGCTGGTCGTACATTACTTAGAAGTCCCTATCAAAATGTGTATGTAAACACATGTGGACGAGGCAATACTGATTAAGTAAAATGTATATATAGAAAGAAGGTCCAGCTTATGACAACAATTTAAGACCAATTGCTGTACTGCCAGTAACTCCTAAATCCAAGAGTTCATTTTCAGGAAATCTTTTTGCTGCTTCAAGTCGAGCTTCAGGAGGTGTGATAAGTTCCATAGTTAACACTGACCTTGTTCAACTAGTCCAAGAGTCAGCTAATGAAATGTGACTATATGACTCAATTTTCTCAATACAATTAGGTATAATTATCTAAACAGCAGTTGAGCAGAAGTTACTACTCTTCAAGGGATACATACATATATATATCCTTTTGAACAAGTGTAATACTAGAACTGAGGTTTGAATGGCTGTTTACTTTTCTTTAATATATATCACCATCTTTAGTTATTTTTTGATCACTTATGATATCACTGGCAGAATCAGCTTACAGCAGTCTACAAAGTCTGGCAACCTTACCACTGACAAACATACATTATATTATCTTTTTCCTCCTCGCGTTTCCACAAATCTGTTTCCACCTCGTAGCAAAAACGACATTCTTAGAAAAAAGATTAAAAAAAACATGCTGTTTTTTTTAGCCATGTACTCATATTACATCCCATATAAGAGGTCATATTATCGCACCGTTCCTACCCACTACCTGACTCTGGCCGCAGGCAAATCTCGGCCGCCATCTTAGAGGGCAGTTGCATCCACAAAACGCATTGACAACTAATTTTTTTTTTAATCCGTGGGCGTTGCGTTGTTAAAAAAAGGAAAGAAAACGGGTGGTGGGGAGGAAAAAGAGAGGCTCTATATCAAAAACTCGATAATACAGTTTTAATTTACCGAATCATCATCGGGATGCATACCGGATGCACCCCTCTGCCTACGCGTTCCGTTCAGAAGGGCAATGGGGTTTTCGTCAATGCAACTTCCCATTACTCGCAGAGAGCAGAGAAAGAGCGGAGCCCCCGGACAAGTGAGGTTTCCACCCTCCCTGTGTAACGTTCGACTGGTTTGGTCCCGTAAGTTCTAACATGCAGGGTGAGAAGGAGAGAAGCGGCACAAACACCTACCTCCCAGCACGATTTTTAAAAAAATTTGTTTTCCTGTTTCTTTTTTTTTTTTTTTTTGATTACGTAAATTGCCATGCTCTTCCATAGAAAGATTGACGATAAGTTGCACTGTAATCTAAGGATACAGTTTCTTTTATCTCCTAAATCTCTCTTTTTTTTATTTGGGGGTATATCTCTCGTGGGGGGGGGGGGGTGAGAGGGATAAATATACATCTACAAAAAGACGATTAAAGTTTTTTTCTTTTTTCTTTTAGTGTGGTTATAGGGTAAGATGATGGGGGGGGGGGGAAGGGGGAATTCAGGCATGCCTTTCAAAGAGCATCCTCCGTAACGTGAAGAAAAGGGACCGCCGACGAATGAAAAGGTGCATTTCGGCAAGTTCATGATTGGCCGTGCTCTGGGCTGGGAGGCAGCGGTGCACCCGGATGGCCACCCGCGCGGTCGAGATCGGGGCCCTCAGCCAGCCAGCTCGGGCCTCCTTCGCTCGCTCCAAAGACTTCCACTAGAATACCGGCATTAGGCCTTAGATTTACTTTTTTACCTTTTTTTTCAAGGAAAGGGGGGGAAGAGGCTCTAAACTGTATATTCTTTTCCTATAAATATTACATTTCTTTTCGTTTATATCAAAGATAAAATATTCATATAATTTCAACAACTATTAGAAATTCAAACGTCGTTCCACGGTGACAGTAACAGTTGGTATCTAGATGGAAACGAGAGACAAGACCGTCTCACTCGGAGGCAAAATACACGGAGATGGTTCAGAGCCTACCGGAAGCTGGCCCGGGCGCTGTGTCCCTGGGTTCGACCGCGCGAGTCGCCGCCGAGCTGATCTAGAGGAAAATCAATAAGTCTAATCTCTGGAGAATAATAATCATAATGATAATAATAAGTAACAATGCGATAGTGTATTGAAGTGGCGACACCAAGGCCGACACAAGAGCCTGGATTTTGCCGTCACTTAAGGGGCCAGTTGGTTAAGATAGCCGCCGTGCTTCACCTGTATGAACACTTAGTCTAATTGTGTCCAGTAACTTTATAATCAGTGTACTAATGAAAGAAATAACATTTGATAAGAGAATTCTAATAGTTGTCCAGGCAGGCAAACCCTGACAATTATCGTAACTTGGCTGACCCTGGAGCTATGTACACGTGACTTAGGTTAAATTACTATACAGTCATATGATGACCAGCCTAGGCATTGTTTTTCTACGCTATATTCAGTAACTCAAACCTAGTGTCTATCAGAGACTAACAGGAAAATTTGTGGTAAGTGAAAATATAGTTTGGCTACAGTGATGATGTTAATTACAATAAGCGATAGTTGCAATAATCAATATGCTTTTTAACAGTTGCAATTTTTTTTTCTACTAGCTTAGTTACCTCACACAAATCATCGTC